CGACGTAGTTCATGGGTCTTCCACTGGTGGGATGCAAACTCTTCCGCTTTGTAGTGTTTGAAATCCTCTGTGATAGGACAGCAATGGTTGTGTCTAATCATCCATCCTAGGTAGTTACAGAGTAGTAGAGACAGATACGTTCCCATAGGACACATGGACAAATCTTGAACATCTGAACATCGGCGTGGAAGGAAGTGCCTTTGTTAAGAAAGGTGTGTAAAAGAAGAGCGGGTTGTATTTTAGAACAAACCCACCTGCTCACATATATATCAGTCTATCTGATGGGATTTAGGGCAATGTAGATCAAGATTCCACAGAACAGAAAGTGAAATACGTTTATAGCCTATTATGCGAAAATGAATTCATGTACAAAGGCCAATGTGGTTATGGCTGCAAACTGGAGCCAACGACCCGAGCACCATGACTCCTCGCTGAGAACTGATTGATGGAGTCTGAGGAAAACTGATGGTGGAGATACGGTGTAACCTTCTGTGACGGGAGTGACTTTGGGTGGGGGGGCCCATGGAACACAGCTCACTTTGGGTGGGGGGCCCAAAGAACACAGTTCAATTTGGGTGGGGGGCCCATGGAACACAGCTCACTTTGGGTGGGGGGCCCATGGAACACAGCTCACTTTGGGTGGGGGGCCCATGGAACACAGCTCACTTTGGGTGGGGGGCCCATGGAACACAACTCACTTTGGAGAGGTGGGGAGACCCCTGTCTCAGCTCCCCATATCCCTCTTATGTGTAAGTCACCCTGTGCCTGTTAGGGGTACAGGGTGATCTGTCCTAATACTGGGGTGGGGGTTGTGTATTGTTTAATGCCATCCCATTGTTGTGTATTGTTTAATGCATCCAATTGTTTTATTGTGTGTCTTGCTTGGGAGCAAACTATGTGTTTATGTGTATTGGCATGGTGGGGGGTCCTCCAGTAGCCCTCTCTCCTGATGGGACTGTCTGCTGGTGTGTCTCTTGTTACTAAATGTAGATTGCCCCGCCCTGTATCATTACGCAGGGAGGGGGGGTTGTTCCCCTGAATGTATATATCTTGTATCTGTGTTAAAATAAACTAATCTACTTCCTGGTTTACTTCAAGATTGGTGTCGTCTAGTCTTGTATGGTCAGCGGTGGTGTCAGTGGTCGGTGTTGTTCGGACAGATTGGTGTCATCTAGTCTTGTATGGTCAGCGGTGGTGTCAGTGGTCGGTGTTCGGACAGATTGGTGTCATCTAGTCTTGTATGGTCAGCGGTGGTGTCAGTGGTCGGTGTTCGGACAGATTGGTGTCGTCTAGTCTTGTATGGTCAGCGGTGGTGTCAGTGGTCGGTGTTCGGACAGACTGGTGTCGTCTAGTTTTGTATGGTCAGCGGTGGTGTCGGTGGTCGGTGTTCGGACAGATTGGTGTCGTCTAGTCTTGTATGGTCAGCGGTGGTGTCAGTGGTCGGTGTTCGGACAGATTGGTGTCGTCTAGTCTTGTATGGTCGGCGGTGGTGTCAGTGGTCGGTGTTCGGACAGATTGGTGTCGTCTAGTCTTGTATGGTCAGCGTTGGTGTCTGTGGTCGGTGTTCGGACAGATTGGTGTCGTCTGGTCTTGTATGGTCAGCGGTGGTGTCAGTGGTCGGTGTTCGGACAGACTGGTGTCGTCTAGTCCTGTATGGTCAGCGGTGGTGTCAGTGATCGGTGTTCGGACAGACTGGTGTCGTCTAGTCTTGTATGGTCAGCGGTGGTGTCAGTGGTCGGTGTTCGGACAGATTGGTGTCATCTAGTCTTGTATGGTCGGCGGTGGTGTCTGTGGTAGGTGTTCGGACAGACTGGTGTCGTCTAGTCCTGTATGGTCAGCGGTGGTGTCAGCGATCGGTGTTCGGACAGATTGGTGTCGTCTGGTCTTGCATGGTCAGCGGTGGTGTCTGTGGTCGGTGTTCGGACAGACTGGTGTCGTCTAGTCCTGTATGGTCAGCGGTGGTGTCAGTGATCGGTGTTCGGACAGACTGGTGTCGTCTAGTCTTGTATGGTCAGCGGTGGTGTCAGCGGTGGTGTCGGTGGTGGAAGCGGTAGTCTAACGGAAGTACCCAAGCGCAGACTGGGTCGGTTCCATTACACCTTCTATCACTAAGAGAAAGCACAACCTAGTCTGCAGTAGGGATGAGGGACAGTGTGGGGTTTACTTGCTAAAGCTGGAGAGTGCAAAATCAGGCTCACTTCTTCATAGGAACCAATCAGCTTCCAGGTTTTATTGCCAAAGCTTTTTTGAACAAGCTGAAGTTAGAAGCTGATTGGGTTCTGTGCAGAAATGAGCCAGATTTTGCACTCTCCAGCTTTAGTAAATAAACCCCTGAGAGCCTTCCCCCAAAATTCAGTACTGGAGTCAATAAGAAGAAGAAACTAAGGTGTGTATTTCTCAAAGTTCAATTGGTTTCAAATGGATCCTGAGGGTTCAAGAAGCTCCCTTCACCGATTCATTTGCAAAGAAAAAAATGGCCATTTCCTTAGCAGGGATCATAATATTCACTATTGAGGAACTTTCCTTTTTTCAAACATATTTCACCTTAGCAGCCAAAATGTGAGCCCAATTTCCACAAAAATTCAGGAAAAGCAAATCTGGGAATGTTGCAATTAAATAATTTTTGGCATTTTGACTCATTTCTTGTTTAGAGTGAACTCTCCAATGGTCATACCCAAATCATCTGTTTCCTTGTATGATTTGTTCCCAGATTCCCGTCTGCAGGCCATCACTAGGCTAGCCACCATTGAGCAGATCCTGATATCTACATTGCCCTGGATATCAGCAGTTTCATTTAATGTGTGTTTGTTGAAGATCTTTCCTGAAGCTGAGGACAGCCATTACAAAACCTGAAGTGGTAAGAATGTTGTCATGAGTTTTGTTGATCAGACCGCAACTAATTGCTCCCACAGCTTCTAGTCGTTGTGTTAATGCTCGTGAACAGATTCAGTGATAGCTCACATTCGTTGAGAATTTTAAATGTGGATTTCTAGCACAACTTGGTTTTAGACTAAACAAATTTATAAAAAGGCCAAGCAGATAATTAGATGCTTTTTTTCAAAGAAACATATACACTATATGGCCAAAAGTGTGAACATCCCACTCCATTTTTAGGGCAAGTGTATAGTTATACCCACAGTTAGGAGGTGCAAAAATCGCTGTTAGTGCCACAGAATGTAGACAATTGTGCTCTTCCAGCCTTGTGGTAACAGTTTGGTGAAGACCCTTTTCTGTCCCCCCATGACTGTCCCCCGTGTACAAAGCCAGCTCCATAAAGACATGGATGACCAGTTTGGTGAAGACCCTTTTCTGTCCCCCCCATGACTGTCCCCCATGTACAAAGCCAGCTCCATAAAGACATGGAGGACCAGATTGGTGAAGACCCTTTTCTGTCCCCCCATGACTGTCCCCCGTGTACAAAGCCAGCTCCATAAAGACATGGATGACCAGTTTTGGTGAAGACCCTTTTCTGTCCCCCCCATGACTGTCCCCCATGTACAAAGCCAGCTCCATAAAGACATGGAGGACCAGATTGGTGAAGACCCTTTTCTGTCCCCCCATGACTGTCCCCCGTGTACAAAGCCAGCTCCATAAAGACATGGATGACCAGTTTGGTGAAGACCCTTTTCTGTCCCCCCATGACTGTTCCACGTGGACAAAGCCAGCTCCATAAAGACATGGAGGACCAGTTTTGTGAAGACCCTTTTATGTCCTCCCATGACTGTTCCACGTGGAGAAAGCCAGCTCCATAAAGACATGGATGACCAGTTTGGTGAAGACCCTTTTCTGTCCCCCCATGACTGTTCCCCGTGGACAAAGCCAGCTCCATAAAGACATGGAGGACCAGTTTGGTGAAGACCCTTTTCTGCCCCCCATGACTGTCTCCTGTGTACAAAGCCAGCTGCCTAAAGACATGGATGACCAGTTTGGTGAAGACCCTTTTCTGTCCCCCATGACTGTCCCCTGTGTACAAAGCCGGCTCCATAAAGACATGGATGACCAGTCTGGTATAGAGGAACTCCAGTGTCCTTTACAGAGCCTTGACCTCTCCTTACTGAACACCTTTGGGATGAATTGAAACCCTGATAGTCAGGTCTTCTCATCCAACATCAGCACCTGACCTCACATAATGGGCCTTAATTCCCACAGAGACCCTCCAAAATCATGGTAATCTTGTGGAAAGCCTTCCCTGAAGAGGGGAGGTTAAGGTTTTGGAATTTGATGTCAACAAGTTCATATAGGTGTGATGGGGAAGTCAACTCTGGGTAGGGTCAACTCTATACTAATGGCCATGGGGAGAGGGGAACTCAATATTAACGGCCATGGAAGGGGGAACTTCAAATTGATGTCCATGTAATGGGGGCTCCATTATAATGGCCATGGGGGGGGGGGGGGGGGGGGGTTGTGATCCATTTTGATGGCCATGATTTTGGAATGGGATATCCAACAAACTCATACATGTCTGATGGTCCGGGTGTCCACAAACCTATAGCCATACAGTGTATATATATTCTCTCACTTTTTTGTAAGACTCCAAACAGAATCTCCCTTTTTCATGTTCTGCTTTAAACTAAAAGGCGGAATTTGTTGTCCCCTTTGATAATGCTCTCGTACATTCAAGCACAGTACCATTACTCTCAGCTTAAAGTCACCAGAAACAGAAGGAGCAGCAAACTCCGTACTTCTGCTGTACTGGAGGCTTTAACTCAACCAATGTCAGGAATGGTTATTAATATTGGGTTCCAGAGACAGGCAACCAGTGGTATACATTTGATGGTCGAGAATGGTACAAAGTACCTATTGTCTTATTATTATTTACAAAAGTAAGTGTCTTCTTAATATAAAAAGTGGTCTATATTCTGAAGGCCCTCTCCCACTCATCTACATCACAAACCTTGGGCATTTCAGAAGGAATGTGATTTCAGGCAAGTAGTATTGTCACCAGCTCTCTAGTCACTGAGTCCTAGTTATGTACATTGTGGACTACAGTCCAGGAGTCATCACCTATAATGGAAGAGATCTCTGTACATGACCGGTATTTTGGAGGGGTCCACGGGTCTTGGGAGGAAATGTGTGAACTTCTGGTGTCTTTTAGTCCTGTATCCATCTCTCGGGGAACCATCTTTATTTAAGGCCACATAGAACTGTCTTTCTGAGTCCACGTGTTTGTACAAGGTGGATGCGTAGGTGTTGTACCAGTTTTCTTCAAACTGTTCCCGGAAGACGCACTCTCTGTTTAGCTTCTTCTGTGAAATAGAAGATAAAAAAAAAAAAAAGGTGAAGGTTCTGAAGTTACGGTTCTGAGTACGAGAGTGAGCAATCAGGAAAAAGTCCAGAGTACGAGAGTGAGCAATCAGGAAAAAGTCCAACCTTGTCATGTTCTAACCCAGAAAAAGACAAACCTCTGCTACATGGAATGAGAAATATCAATGCAAAGTCCACAGTGAGGGACACATGGAGACTGGTCTTCCCTTTACAGGACAAAGTTCCCACAACTTAGTGAACGAGAAGGAGCTGCTACTGTCATCCAAAGTCATGTGCAAAGTGAAAGTTCACCTCATTCACTGAACTCTGGAAATTCCCTTGTAAAGTCAATGGTTTAGTAAATCCAGCCCAGCACTTGTATCTGGAGATGGCCTCCTTCAGCCACCAGGAGGGACACTGGATGTTGTCCAGAGATATAATCTGAGTACCTGGAGGACTCCTAGAAGCATAGACACCTCCACTTGGACATCTGCCCTCACCTTCAGTCTGGTGTATGGTGGACCCAATGAAGAAATTAAGCGACATTGTGTGCAGCCAGCATCAGGCATGACCCCCCCAGATGAAATGGGCCATCGGATGGCAGCCACACATACTCCACAACATCACCATGGATGGACTGACAAGGTATGCTGAGACTAGCATCCACAGGCAGGAAAAAGTCATGTGTGCATGTATGTTCTGACTGTATGTGCCTGGCTGTGTGTGGTGACATTTCGGTAACACCAGGACATGTAATTGATGTATCCGCCTGCGCTTGGGCACAAAGATTACAAACACAGCCGACACGATCTGCAGGCAACAAATATCACGATATTTAGGAGAAGTTCAGTGCTAAACATTACATAAATATATAAATGGATCAACAGGTAACAAGGAAGTCCTCCAAAGCCTTAGAAAGTATCCCGAGGACAGTCAGGTAGAACCACCTTGAGGGATCTCAGAGACCATGAAGTGCCAGAAAGCAGTTACCGTCCACCTCCAGGCTGGTGTGTCCTGACTGTCCTCGGGATACTTTCTAAGGCTTTGGAGGACTTTCTTCTTATCTGTTGATCCATTTGTTTGTTTTTATATTTTGTACATAAAGAATTGCGCTGAACTTTACCCTTCACTCCAGGACATGTCTGGATATAAGAATGGGTTCTCCTTGGATTGTTGGTGGCACGTCCAGCCCGCTGAGTCTCCCAGTGAATATCTGTAGCTGAAGGAACACATGGCTGCCACCCTCTAGAGGAGCGGAGTACAGGACACTGACATCGAACTCGGAGTCCCATCAATACGGTACTGGAGATTCACAGGAGGAGCGGACAGACATTCAGATACGGGAGGAGCGGACAGACATTCAGATACGGGAGGAGCGGACAGACATTCAGATACGGGAGGAGCGGACAGACATTCAGATACGGGAGGAGCGGACAGACATTCAGATACGGGAGGAGCGGACAGACATTCAGATACGGGAGGAGCGGACAGACATTCAGATACGGGAGGAGCGGACAGACATCCAGATATGGGAGGAGCGGAGTACAGGACACTGACATCGAACTCGGAGTCCCATCAATACGGTACTGGAGATTCACAGGAGGAGCGGACAGACATTGAGATACGGGAGGAGCGGACAGACATTGAGATACGGGAGGAGCGGACAGACATTCAGATACGGGAGGAGCGGAGAGACATTGAGATACGGGAGGAGCGGACAGACATTGAGATACGGGAGGAGCGGAGTACAGGACACTGACATCGAACTCGGTGTCCCATCAATACGGTACTGGAGATTCACAGGAGGAGCGGACAGACATTCAGATACGGGAGGAGCGGAGAGACATTGAGATATGGGAGGAGCGGAGAGACATTGAGATACGGGAGGAGCGGACAGACATTCAGATATGGGGGAGGAGCGGACAGACATTCAGATATGGGAGGAGCGGACAGACATTGAGATACGGGAGGAGCGGACAGACATTCAGATATGGGAGGAGCGGAGAGACATTGAGATACGGGAGGAGCGGAGTAAAGGACACTGACATCGAACTCGGAGTCCCATCAATACGGTACTGGAGATTCACAGGAGGAGCGGACAGACATTCAGATACGGGAGGAGCGGACAGACATTCAGATACGGGAGGAGCGGACAGACATTCAGATACGGGAGGAGCGGACAGACATTCAGATACGGGAGGAGCAGGACAGACATTCAGATACGGGAGGAGCGGAGTACAGGACACTGACATCGAACTCGGTGTCCCATCAATACGGTACTGGAGATTCACAGGAGGAGCGGACAGACATTCAGATATGGGAGGAGCGGACAGACATTGAGATACGGGAGGAGCGGACAGACATTCAGATACGGGAGGAGCGGACAGACATTCAGATATGGGAGGAGCGGAGAGACATTGAGATACGGGAGGAGCGGAGTACAGGACACTGACATCGAACTCGGAGTCCCATCAATACGGTACTGGAGATTCACAGGAGGAGCGGACAGACATTCAGATACGGGAGGAGCGGAGAGACATTGAGATACGGGAGGAGCGGACAGACATTCAGATATGGGAGGAGCGGACAGACATTCAGATATGGGAGGAGCGGACAGACATTGAGATACGGGAGGAGCGGACAGACATTCAGATACGGGAGGAGCGGACAGACATTCAGATACGGGAGGAGCGGACAGACATTGAGATACGGGAGGAGCGGACAGACATTCAGATACGGGAGGAGCGGACAGACATTCAGATACGGGAGGAGCGGACAGACATTCAGATACGGGAGGAGCGGACAGACATTCAGATATGGGAGGAGCGGACAGACATTGAGATACGGGAGGAGCGGACAGACATTCAGATATGGGAGGAGCGGAGAGACATTGAGATACGGGAGGAGCGGAGTACAGGACACTGACATCGAACTCGGGGGGTCCCATCAATACGGTACTGGAGATTCACAGGAGGAGCGGACAGACATTCAGATACGGGAGGAGCGGAGAGACATTGATACGGGAGGAGCGGACAGACATTCAGATATGGGAGGAGCGGACAGACATTCAGATATGGGAGGAGCGGACAGACATTGAGATACGGGAGGAGCGGAGTAAAGGACACTGACATCGAACTCGGAGTCCCATCAATACGGTACTGGAGATTCACAGGAGGAGCGGACAGACATTCAGATACGGGAGGAGCGGACAGACATTCAGATACGGGAGGAGCGGACAGACATTCAGATACGGGAGGAGCGGACAGACATTCAGATACGGGAGGAGCAGACAGACATTCAGATACGGGAGGAGCGGAGTACAGGACACTGACATCGAACTCGGTGTCCCATCAATACGGTACTGGAGATTCACAGGAGGAGCGGACAGACATTCAGATATGGGAGGAGCGGACAGACATTCAGATACGGGAGGAGCGGACAGACATTCAGATACGGGAGGAGCGGACAGACATTCAGATACGGGAGGAGCGGACAGACATTCAGATACGGGAGGAGCGGACAGACATTCAGATACGGGAGGAGCGGACAGACATTCAGATACGGGAGGAGCGGACAGACATCCAGATACGGGAGGAGCGGACAGACATCCAGATACGGGAGGAGCGGACAGAGATTCAGATACGGGAGGAGCGGACAGACATCCAGATACGGGAGGAGCGGACAGACATCCAGATACGGGAGGAGCGGACAGACATTCAGATACGGGAGGAGCGGACAGACATTCAGATACGGGAGGAGCGGACAGACATTCAGATACGGGAGGAGCGGACAGACATTCAGATACGGGAGGAGCGGACAGACATTCAGATACGGGAGGAGCGGACAGACATCCAGATACGGGAGGAGCGGACAGACATTCAGATACGGGAGGAGCGGACAGATATTCAGATACGGGAGGAGCGGACAGACATTCAGATACGGGAGGAGCGGACAGACATTCAGATACGGGAGGAGCGGACAGACATTCAGATACGGGAGGAGCGGACAGACATTGAGATACGGGGGGGAGGAGCGGACAGACATTGAGATACGGGAGGAGCGGACAGACATTCAGATACGGGAGGAGCGGACAGACATTCAGATACGGGAGGAGCGGACAGACATTCAGATACGGGAGGAGCGGACAGACATTCAGATACGGGAGGAGCGGACAGACATTCAGATACGGGAGGAGCGGACAGACATTCAGTTACGGGAGGAGCGGACACCTCACACATGATAAGACAGTTCTCCTAATCTGTGTGATTTTCAACCTTCATTATGACCAGTGCAGCAGAGAACTAGGAATGTTGTGCCCCATCTGCCCAACTGTCAGGTCACTCAGAGCTACAGGGAAAAATAGGGTGACTCCAGAATTTCCTCCAGACATCAATGACCTCTGGTCACTATGGGAAGTTACCCTGGAATTTGGACCGGTTCCCAGATACATGGTTGGGAGTGACCCTGCAAGTTGGACCGGTTTCCAGATATGTGGTTGGAAGTGACCCTGGAATTTGGACCGGTTCCCGGATACATGGCTGGGAGTGACCCTGCAAGTTGGACCGGTTTCCAGATATGTGGTTGGGAGTGACCCTGCAAGTTGGACCGGTTCCCGGATACATGGTTGGGAGTGACCCTGCAAGTTGGACCAGTTCCCGGATACATGGTTGGGAGTGACCCTGGAAGTTGGACCGGTTTCCCGGATACGTGGTTGGAAGTGACCCTAGAATTTGTACCAGTTCCCTGGTACATGGTTGGAAGTGACCCTGGAATGTGGACCGGTTCCCGGATACATAATTGGGAGTGACCCTGCAAGTTGGACCGGTTCCCGGATACGTGGTTGGAAATGACCCTGCAAGTTGGACCGGTTCCCGGATACGTGGTTGGAAATGACCCTGCAAGTTGGACCGGTTCTCTAGTAGGTGGTTGGATGTGACCCTGGAATTTGGACCGGTTCCCTGGTATGTGGTTAGAAGTGACCCTGGAATTTGGACTGGTTCCC